AAAATTTAAAAGACTTATGAAATTTAAATATTTTTACTTATTCATTGGCTGTGGTAGTTTTAAACATGGTAGATAATACAGTTTGAAATAATAATGGATTAGCCTTGATACAAAACAGATAGAAGCTAAGAGCTGTGCTCACTCTACTTCCTTGTTATCTTGAACTGAGCTACACCTCGAGCAGTTGAGATCTGATGATAGCATGGCTGATACATGTTTGCGCTTTTTTTTCTCCTTGGACTTAAGATGAGAGAATATTGATGTGTGTGTGTGTGTGTGTGTGAGAGAGAGAGAGAGAGAGAGAAAGGATATACTTGTTTTCCCGTTATTGCTAGTCTAGTCTTTCAAGTGCAAAACCATTCAGATTTTGTTGCCTTGATATTTTACTGAGTTCTTACCACCATTTGGAATCTACTTATTCATATAGACTCATCTTAAATAAGGGGAGAAAACATGTTTCTGAAATGAAATCACAAATTCTCTATACATTACATGATCTCCCTGAGAAGTTAGTTCAACATCTAGAAAATCAGAAAAATCAGCCTGGCTTATTCAGGTATGGATTATCTGATATGATTGTTAAATCATTATTGGGCTAGTGTAATAGAAGTTGTTTCAAGTTATGCCTCACTTTGAGCAAACTTTAGTGGCGCTTTTACTGCATTAGCCCTAATTACTCACAATAATGATGCAGTGCTCCCTTGAATCAGACCTCCATGGCTGCACCAGGGAACTGCAGCTGATCAATAGCTATTGAGCAGTTTGATCACCAAGGCTGATCTGTTTGAGCACCTCTGGCAGCCACCGCCATCCTCCCTCCCGGTAGCTCACAAACTGACATGTTCCCAGCTCGCCACTCCCTCTTGCATCTCCTCGATGGCCCCCTTTTACAAATCAATAATGTCATAATCAGTATGCCTCTGAGACTCTGAGAAAGTAAAAAAATTGCCTGAAACAAAAACCTGGGGGACCCATATAGCACATGCATATAGGCATACAAGCTAGAAAACACGTATTTGTAAACCCTTGACCCATATTCATTTCTCCCATACTGTATTGTTTATAACATAAGGTGGGAATGTTCCTTTATTGTACTTTTATCAAAGATCACCTATTTGAAAACAGTACTGTTCTTACTAGAGACTGATAAATTATTTGGCGAGTATTTTCCAGCAGCCTACAAAGTGCCTGTCAAATGTTTTTCATTTAATTGTTATTATGCCTGTAATCCCAGCACTTTGGGAGGCTGAGGCGGGCAGATCACCTGAGGTCAGAAGTTCGAGACCAGCCTGGCCAACACAGTGAAACCCCCGCCTCTACTAAAAATACAAAAATTAGTCGGGCATGGTGGCATGTACCTGTAATCCCAGCCACTCAGGAGGCTGAGGCAGGAGAATCGCTTGAACCTAGGAGGCGGAGGCTGCAGTGAGCCAAGATTGCGCCACTGCACTCCAGCCTGGGTGACAGAGCAAGACTCCATCTAAAAAAAAAAACAAAAACAAAAACAAATAAAAAGGCAGTTTCAAGATTATGTTTTTCTCAGATGTCTCTCATCATATTTAATGTTGTAAAAGCACACAGCTACTGCCTCTCAATCATTTGTTTCACTCAGTGATTATTTACTGAGCATGTAACATGTGTCAGGAACTGTACTAGGTATTTTTGCATCCATTCTTTTTAATTTTTTTTTTGTTTTATTTTTTTGAGATGGAGTTTCGCTTTGTCACCCAGGCTGGAGTGCAGTGGCGCGATCTCAGCTCACTGCAGCCTCCACCTCCCGGGTTCAAGTAATTCTCCTGCAGAAGACTCCCGAGTAGCTGGGATTACAGGGGGATGCCACCACACCTGGTTAATTTTTGTATTTTTAGTAGAGGCTTCGCCATGTTGGCCAGGCTGGTCTTGAACTCCTGACCTCAGGTGATTCACCCACCTCGGTCTCTCAATGTGCTGGGATTACAGGCGTGAGCCACCATGCCTGGCCTGCATCCATTATTTCTAAATAAAATTTCTAATTAATTGAATTACTTCAGTACCTTATTATGTCTATACATGATTTCTTAAATTTGTTTTATAAGCCACCTAGTTTAACTCTTCTTTCCTTTTTCTTTTCTCCCTGCAATTGCCTGTGTTTCCAAAACCATTCTGTAGAAATGATAACCTATTAAAAAATAAGCTGATCCCTGCCTAAAGCCAGAAGTAATTCTACCTTGTTTATAGTGAAAGATGAAGAAAGGCGCTCGAAAGAAAACAAAAATTAAGTGAGTTGTTTCGTCAGAAATATATATTACTGTACTATATATATCACTATATATTTCAAGCACCTAATTAAATAAGATCAAATCCAGAAACTATTAACTACCTACTATGTGCTTGGCTTTGGCTAAAGCTCTCTATCTACCTCATCAAATTATGAGCTTCATTCACTGTTCTCCAAAAGAGGTAGAAGTCCATATTTATGGAAAAAAAAATCTGCCTTTGCTCATGTTCGGACTATGACAGAAGTGGGAATCCACTGGAAATCGGGCAGTAAATCAGGAAATTTGGGTTCCAATCCAACTGTATGACCTCAGGCAAATCTCTGAATCTCAAGAGGCCTCAGTTTCTTCATGTGTAAAACAGAGCATTGGCCACAAGCCCAGCCTGTGTGTTTCTAGCTCTCCCAGGTTTGTGGGAAGCTTTTTATCTGTGGGGAGTGAAATCTCAGGAAGGTCTGTCCTCCAGCACCTGGGGTAGATATCTGGCCTATTTCCCCTCAAAAGTCCAGCTCAGCAGCCAGAGACCCGGAAATGGACCAAATCTGTGAAATTCTCATGAGGGTCTCGTTTAAGTACTGCCAAAAATAAACAGCCCGTTCTTGCATCCTGCAACAGGGGCGTCTGGGCTCAACTCTGATTACCAGGGAGTCAAGTATAAAAGTGTAATACCCACCTGTTTCTACTGCCCATTTGGCATATTTGTAAATTATTTACTGGATGCACTAGAGGAGGCAGGCCCATATAAGCATGTGATCCCAAGAATAAGTTCTCTCACAATGAAGGGAAAGAGTGCAGGGGAGGAAAATAGGGGACCACCTGTCTTTTGCCTCAGAGGAATATCTGTGCATAGCAGGCAAAGGTGGAAACACAAAGGCTAATTTCTCAATCCATAAAGGGAGGTCTCCAGTGCTTAATCGACAAGGTTGAATAACCACTGATCTGGGTGGGTGCAGAGCATAAGCATAGCCCAAATCTTTTGCTTAAGCCAAATGATGTCTTCCTTGAAATCAGCCATAGCACCAGTTCCCACTTCCAAGACTCTGCCCAACTTGCTCCCTTTGTTTGGACACCCTCCCTCCAAGGTGCTACTAATCCATCAAATCTCAGGGGCAACTTCCTCTGCATTTCTCTGTGACTTTCCCTCCTTTGTCTTCTTCTTGTACTCCTCACTGTCACCATTTACCTGGCAATTCCACCAAAAACATTTTGTTTCACACCAAGTAAAGGCTCATGATCATATTTGAGAGATGACCCCATTCCTTCAGAGCAAGAGTTTTCAAATGGCTGGAGAGAACACCAGTTCCAAGAGATGTTAAGAGAGAGTCCCAGAAAAAAGGGTTGTGTGTTCAGATATGATCCTGCAACCTCACAATGCACATTGGTCAATGCAAAGCCCTGAAAAGCCCTGCAAGAAAGAACCACGGGTAAGGAAGCAGCTTTTCCTACACCTACTTTTCCATGAAAACATCCTTCATCACAAAACACCTACTAGTATTTTGCTGAATTCAACTGGGGAAGTGTCATTCCAAGTGTTTCTTTCTGTTATTTCAATTGGGCTCATTTTCTAATTACCAGTGCTTTCCATGAAGGAGGCAGTTATATAGACAAGTTGAGTTCTTTACTCAAAGCAAACGGCTAAATTGAAAAATGAATTTGGACTAAATATTAAGAATGAGTCTCTTCTTGGGTTTCTAATCATAACAGGCCTTTCTAAATACTGTAATGTGCTTGCCACATTTACATTAATATGTTAATTCAAGAAATATGTACGTAACATTGTCATGCTGCATGTCAGGGAGATAGCAAGAATCTAAATAGCTGACTCTGCCTCTGAGGTATGTGCAATTTTGTTACATGGGAGAAGTTGCAGTCTGTGAAATGATGGGAACTGCATGGTAGAGATTCTGGGTATCCTGGAGGAGCTGTGACTAGCTGTGTTTTAAGGACTTGTAGGATGTGATTAGGAATTGAGTAAGGCTGTCTCCAAGTTCAGGTGTTAAGTCAAACCCAAAGCCTCTCTTCCTGGAGGCAGGGATGGGCTTGACACAGTGGAGGTGGGCACAGGGGCTGGTGGAAGGCACAGTGGGGAACAGAGGTGGAAAGGACCAGGCTGTGGAGAACCTGAGATATCTAAATAAGGAGTTTATATTTTATCCACTGTTGGCGAGGACTCTGGGAACTACTGAGAAATTCATCAATTCATGGGTAGGAGGTATCGATGCATCAATAAATCAGTGATTACTGTCTTTCAACCCTGATGAGCAAGGGACAGTGAAATGCACTGGTTGAGAGCATGGGCTTTGGAATCCTGACTGTCCACAGGTTCTTGGGGCAGGCTTCTTTACTCTTAGCTTCCTCTTCTGAAAATGAGGATACAAGTGTTTATTTTATGAGCTACAAGAAATAACATATATAAGGCCCTTGATGTAGAGATTAGTAATTCCTAAAGCTTGACAAAGAGTGATTAATAATGTTAGCATTTAGTTGCTACTCAGTGGACCCATGTTAGAATAAAGTGAAGAATGTTCCAGAGTACCCACCCTCCACATTCCCAGGAGATCTCCTTCTTTTCTCACATCTCCTCCCACTTCAAAGAGCCAGTGCTGAAACAGCTCCCATGTTCAGAGTCCATGGGATGATGGCAAAACAGAGTACTCTTACCTGTATTCGACAGGCCATTCTCAGTGGGCTTTCTCCACATTCGTCTTGCTTGGGGTGAACCCAAAGCATCTGAAAAGTGCTCACCTGCGTCCGATGTTGCTGCGGATGCAGCAAGGAGAGATAACACTGGGGCTGGTGGAATTGCAACACTGTCAACTGCGGCTGGCTTCTTCCTGGTCATCATGGTGGGCACTGAGCCTTCGTTCTTACTATGCACTGCTGTCTGGTCCACTTTTAAGTGGGGACTTGGCATTCCTAAAAAATAACAACCCCAAAGCTTTCAGTCACTTTAAGGGAACAGGAAGATAGACAACATATAACCTGGACATGATCTGAGGAAATGGTCAAATGATTTGAACACCTCCCTCTGGTACAACAAGAATGAAATTTAAAAATGCTTAAAGAGGAAAAATAGCTATGACTGGTTTTGCTTTTGTGGCTGAGGTTAGGAGTGATGCCATTCTAGGCTGGCTGTCTGGAAGTGGTGGGGTCACAGCATAGGCCTAGTGAAGCAGAATAATCCATCAGGTGACCCTTTGCCTTCTGATGATGTACATTCCTATCTTTACAGAGGCTGTGCTGTGTGCAGCATGATGGGGAGTTCGAGTGGAAGAGACATGGCTCCTACCCTAGTAAGACTTCTCATCTCATCCAGCTGGGGAAACAAGACTGAATGAGAAGGAAAAATTGGACAGCAAGCTTGTGCAGGCTTGTGTGTTACTTATCCTAGGTGTTTGGGGAGTTCTAAGGACGTAGAGATCAGTGTTGAAAGAAGTGGGGAAAGGCTCATGCTGAAGCTTCAAGGATGAGGGAAAGGCACTTTTGGTAAGAGCATAGGCTAAGGCATGGGAGGGGAGTAAACATGATGCAGATGAGGCCAGCATGCTGGAGGTGGAAGATGAACTGTGGGGATTAGTGTGTCATCAGCCTGTAGGGTAAGGAGAGCTGATTTGGGGGCCTTTGAGTGTCTGGTCATAACAGGCATCATATGTCATGTCATGATGATGCTGAAAAGCCTAAGGAGTCAGGAGGTGCCCCTGTAAGGGCCTAGAAATTTCCTATGTAACAAACAGTAAGAGCTATTCTGCAATCCCATTTCCTGAGCTTGAATCCAGGCTCTGCCACTTTCCAACTCTGTGATGAGTTTTAAACTTCTTTACTTCTAAAAATGGGGTGGTGATGATACTACCTTGTAGGGGATGTTGTGAGCATCCAACAAGTCGATCGATGTAAAGTGCTTAGAACAGTGCCTAGTGCATAGTCCGTGCTATGAAAGTGCTTAACATTATTATTATCCCTATTATTGCAACTATCATTACTATGACCTGCTGCTTCCTCAGAACCAATTGTAACCAGCAAGCAAAGGGTCAGTTCTTCTCCCTGACATGACTAAGAATATATGGGCACCTTCCTCCCCACCCCAATGCAAAAACAAGGCTCTCTAACTCATCCAAATGTGAGTCCAGAGGCTGAGGGCATGTGAATCCATTTCAAATGGTTACCTATTCAGTTTCTCCATCTGTCAGCTACATAACACTGACAGCAACAACAAATTGGGCCTTACCATATTGGTTCTTGACTCTTTTTTTTTTTATCCCAACTAACCTGAGTGATACAGTCCCCTCCCAGAGTAACATTATCTCACTGCCATTTTGAGATCAGCTTCTCTTGGGCTTCGTGGCAACCGTGTGAAGCATGTAGTGTGGATATTACAATTTTCTCAATTTTACAGATGAAGAGAACACATTTCTAAAAGGTTAAAAGAGAACTGAACTCACTCATACAGCTCTTAATGTCAAAGCTGGAAGTTTCCAGGTAGCTGGATGCTAAACCCAGGGATCATATTGGTCCATCTGGCCATACTCTAATACCTGACCATGACCCCAGTCTGCCGACAGCATGTTTCATGCAGAGGATGAAGAGGCCCCAGTATCACACCTGGATAAGGCATCTGTAACTATCTAAGGAAGACAGTCACGCTGACATTTACCTCCTTCCTTCCTCCTATTCTCCATTTCGGTCCCTGAAACTCCCAGTTGTGATGCCATGAATAAAAATGCCACTTATGCTTTTCTTGGAGTTTATATTTCATAGCCCTTTGAAGGTGGAGATAGGCAAACATCAAATTCTGTGACAGACAGATTGCAAGGCACAACCATCAAGAAACTAGAAGGTGTAGCAAGTATGTATAGTATGCCTTGTTTGTAAAATTTGCAGGTGTGCTCATCATGGGCTAGGTACAGACATATTTAAAATGCATTCAAAATCATCTGTAAAGCAACACATCAAAATAGGTAACAGTGGTTATTCTGAGGAAGGAGAGCTCAGAGACTGGTAAGGAAAAGGCAGTGTTTTTACTTCTTTTTATTTTTTTGAGTCGGAGTCTCACTCTGTTGCCCAGGCTGAAGTACAGTGGCACAATCTCGGCTGACTGCAACCTCCACCTCCTGGGTTCAAGCGATTCTCCTGCCTCAGCCTCCCAAGTAGCTGGGACTACAGGCATCTGCCACCACACCTGGCTAATTGTTTGTATTTTTAGTAGAGATGGATTTTCACCATGTTGGCCAGGATGGTCTCGATCTCCTGACCTCGTGATCCACCAGCCTCAGCCTCCCAAAGTGTTGAGATTACAGCCATGAGCCACTGCGCCTGGCCACTTCTTAGCCTTCTTTATTGTTAATATTTAAAAAACTCACAAACATGTATTAAACTTTTCATTCCTTTCAGAAAACAAACACAGTTTGGAAACTATCCAGAAGCCTATGGGCACAGGGGCAGAATGACTGAGGTGTTTTCACAACGTGGCTGCTAAAAAGTCTGATAATGGGCAAAGCAGGCATGAGTCTGATGAAAATTTCCCATTTTGGTACACTGCACCACCATGGCATTCCCACCGAATGGATGGAGGCAGAATTTCCATGGAACACCTCAGGAAATCTAAGCTGTCAGATTTCTATTGCATAACAGCTCCTCTGGAAAAACTCACTGATATGTCATCTTTATACCATGGACACAAGTTGGGAAGGTAATTCTTTGTTCAAATTATGATATGCTTGGGGCATGAAGGCCATAAACAGGATTAGCAGTAAGATATTTAGCTCTCACTTGGGAATAAATGGAGTTAAGTCACTTTAGTTGTACCCATTTTTATGCAAATGCTCACAATCCAAATTAGTCTCAGTCCACATCAATTCATTAGAGTTGATCCAGTCAGATCTCTCATGGGTGTACTTTGCTACTCAAGTGTTTATGTTACATAATATACTAATAGTAATAAAATGATACTTAAAACATTCTATAATTTAGATGGTTACTATTAGCTCTCTTGAAAACCCTAGATCCTTTAGAATTTTCTAGATTAGAGTACAGCTTTCTAGTTACCACCCAATGATTTTGAAAACAAATTAAAAAAGAAAGAAAAAAAAAAGCCCTGACATTTTTCTCAGCCATTTTTGATTTTTGAAAGGATAATGGAAACAATCCCAGAAATAATACAAGCAAGAATATTAAGTAAACTTTAAACAAAGGCTAATCTATGAACACTTATTAATCCACAAAATCTGTCTGAGGGCAGAGGTGTCAGGAGATGGTGATGGGGTACTGGTCCTTGGGAGAGTGCATTGGGCGGGCTGACCACTGGAAGTCTCTTCATTACCCTTCATTCCAGGTGGTGACTGATATTCTATGATGAGCAAAAGCAAAGTGGTTGGGGGGGGGGGGGGTGCGGCATTTGAAACGTTTATTCTCAGCATGAACCAGGCTTCTATCAATGGGAGGGAGATTTTTGATGCTAGAGGGTGATCATAAAGAAACCCAGATTTAACCTTGTACTGACGGGACCATTGAGATGTAGCACCACTGCTTACACAGAGACAATTGTAATGCCACTGGTGTGCTCTGGGAAGGGATCACTGTCTCAAACTCAGAATGTAGACTGTATGGACAGCACTCTTGGTAGGCGTGTTCAGAGCATCCCTAAACCCCAACATGAGACAAATTGCACTGAGGATTGCCTATTTGGAGGCCAGTAAGTTTTTAAAGAGGAAAATAACAATGCTAATAACTTTGTGGATCCAACATCTGTTCTTAATTAAAAGACACAGTCAGGAGGAAATACAAAAAAGTTAAACCTATAAGAAAAACATTCCGCTATAACCTATTGACCTCTATCGATAATTTTTTTTTTTAAAAAAGTCTTTGAAACTGTGCTGTAGCCTATGTGGAAATAGTCACTCATTTTCAAAGGTAATTTCTCATAGACCACTTATCCCCTCAAACCTCTACCTGCACACCGTGTTTGCATTAGGGACTTGATTTATGGATTCCTGCTCCTTCGATGCAGAAGCTGACTTCCTGTTGCCTTGGTTACTTGGAGCTCAGTTCAAGGTTAAACTACTCCCAAATCAAAATCAGTGGCAGGCGCTGCATCTAGTGGCCAGGTTATTGACTGCCCCAGGATGCGAAAAGGTCAGAGACCAAAGCATTGTTTACTACCTTAAGGGTGAGTCAATAGCTTCAATATTTCGATTCTGTTTCTTCCGAAGTAGTAGTTGCTGCTCAATTACCTCCTCCCCAGGTTGCTGAAGGTCACAGAGGTCATGAAGGAAAAGTAGGGTCTATGGTGGCTGACTTTCGCAGGATCCCTTTAATGAGCTCTGCAACCTTGGATAATAAAAACCAGCCTCACCTTAGAGAAGCTGTATGTTGTTCTATGGTTTATAAAGCTAGTTATCTACTTTATATCATTTCTCTATCTGAAGAAAAACAAACAAAAATCTTTGTGGGATGGCTACTATTTACTACCCTTTCCTAGATAAGAAAGTCAAGGGGTTCAGAGAGGTCATCTGATCTATCTAAAATCACACAGCTGTAAGAGGTGGGACGATCTAGATTCTCTGATTCCCAGTTGGTTCTTCGTTCTGCAGTTTCTTGAAAATAAAAGAGGTGATGGAGTCATCACCAAGGGATCCATACATAATTCATTTTGTAACATCCGCTGCAGAGCACAGTATATCTGGCAGATAGTATGTGATTAATATAGGCTTGTTGAACAGTTTAATTAATTTTGTAATTCTAAGATTTGCAAATGTAGATATTTCATGGTGACAAAGCCCAGGCTGGCATGGTGGAAGAGGCTGACACCACTGGGATGGTTGGTCCCTTTAGTCATCTTTCTGGCTCCCTTTACACTGCAGAAGGCAGATTTTGGCATAGACTGGGAGTTATATTGAGCAGTTAGTGGTTTTTAAACTTGC